CGCGTTGGTCTGGGGAGACAGGCTGCCTGACCAGCGGCTGGCCTAGCAGGAGATAAAGGGCCGGCACAGAGGCCCCACTCAGGACGACTATGGCACCGATGGCGAAGGTGACGAGACAGGATTCTCCACCAGGCACAGAGATGGTGCTCCGGGCTCCCCTCAGGCTGAAAATGGATCATTTCAGAATAAATACAGAGAAGCCCATTTTATACAGTGTGTTGTGGTGAGGAAGCCCCAAGAGGCTGGAGGAAAGAGGGCAAGACACAAACAAGCTACTGTTGGCTGCTGAGGACACCCACAGCACCCACGTAACCACAGCCTTCCGTCCACTGCATGCCTGCCTACTGAACCACTGCCCGCCGTCTGCTGTGGACATCCACGTAACCACTGCCTGCTGTCTGCCACGAACACCCTCGTAACCACTACCCAGTATCTGCTGCAGACATGCACATAGCCACTGCCCACCGTCTGCCATGGACATCCATGCCTGCCATCCACTGCATACCTGCCCATGTAACCACTGCCCGCTGTCTGCTGCATGCCTGCCTACGTAACTACTGCCTGTCGTCTGTGGTGGACACCCTCGTGACCACTGCCTGCCGTCTGCTGCATACCTGCCCATGTAACCACTACCTGCCGTCTGCGGTGGACGCCCATGTAACCACTGCCTGCTGTCTGCTGCATGCCTGCCCATGTAACCACTCCCTGCCATTTGTAGTGGACACCCATGTGACCACTGCCCGCCGTCTGCTGCATGCCTGCCTATGTAACCACTACCTGCCATCTGCGGTGGACACACATGTGACCAGCCGTCTGCTGCATGCCTGCCCATGTAACCACTACCTGCCATCTGTGGTGGACACCCATGTGACCACTGTCCACCGTCTGCTGCATGCCTGCCCATGTAACCACTACCTGCCATCTGCGGTGGACACCCATGTGACCACTGCCCGCCGTCTGCTGTGTGCCTGCCCATGTAACCACTACCCACTGTCTGTGGTGGACACCCACATAACCATTGCCTGGCGTCTGCTGCATACCTGCCCATGAAGGCGCTGGGGGTAGTGACTCATGACTCAGAGATCCTACCAAGTGGGCCTCTGATTTATCCTGCCCCGGAGATGAGTTTCAGAGAGGTGCAGACATTTGTCCAAGACTACTCAGCTGGATCGCAGTACAGCTTAATCCAAATCCACCCTGGTTGACCTCCACCCGTGTGCTTCATCCCAGCTCACCCTGACGCCCATGGGGAGGCCTGGCTCCTTCTATATCAATTTCTTAGGAGTCAGGTCGTAGGACATGATTTTGGACAATCCCAATCCCTCAGAGACAAATGTTAGGTGGGTCTCAGATTTGAACCAGGAAAACAGTGGTAATACTTTTCAGAATATTAAATGCTCAAGGTCAAAAGGGAGAGGGCAGGTGGGTAGATCTAACCAGGAGCCCGTCCTCCAGGGCAGGAGTGGGGCCTAGGGAGCAGGGATGTTTTAGGTACCACAAGTGGGCCAGGCCCAGAAGGAGGGCCTCTGCACCCAACAAGGGGAAGGGGATGATAATACTTAACAGCATTCAGTGACAGGGGCCTGGTAGTTTTCACCCTTGGGAGTGCAGCTGCGACCTCATGGCAGCTGCGACCTGAATGGCTCCACAGTCATGAAAACAGTGAGTTAAAAGTTCAAATGAAACCCAACAATTAATATTAAGCAGAAAGAAAAGTCTTGAGCAAACAAGCTAAAAGAGAAGTTTTGTTAAATAATGAACACTCGTAAAACAGCAATGAAATGGTATTAAAATGTTTGTGATTACTTATTCCTCAGCATTCACCTGATAACTTAAGCAGCATGAAGCAGGAGTTGCGCTTAAAAAATGACCAGAAAATAGCTATTCATCTCGTCGGCAGAGTAAGGCCCATCTCGTTTCTAGGATCACTAGTGTCATTGCTTATGGCCAGGGTGGGCGTCCGCGAGGGCAGTTCTCTCTCAGCACCCCCGTGTCTGCCCTGAGGCAGTGCCCAGGGCTGCACTGCCTCGGGTTCCGGGGGCAAACGCTGGGTTTGTTCTCGAGGAGTCGCGGGAGGGCTGTCTGGCTGCCTGCCCGTCCACCCCAAGTCCGTGTATTGCTGCAGGGTAGCTGCTGAATCTGGATACGTCCCTAAGCTGGGGCGGTGTGGAGGGGCCGGGCATGGCCCGGGGACAGGTCCATGCTGTTCTGGTTTTGCACACTCAGGGCTGGACTGACTGCAGGCCGTGACCTCGGGGGTCCTTGCAGTGTCTTTGTCCTCTTCCTTAGCCCCATTTTCTTCTTGCAGGGAGGGGACACATTCTGGGGGGCGCAGAAGGGCCAAGCAGGGCCAAAGACAGGAGAGCAACGTGTCCCCGCCCCCTGCCTATTGCACCGTAGTCCATAAAAAATAAACACGTTTGGCTGTTTGTGTATTGCTAACGTGGTGGCACTGCAATCACTGGCAGGCCGCACAGAGAGCTGCATCGTCGTCGTTAATCCCCCAGAACCCACCCAGGGACAGCCGTGGTTGGGATCTTTGGCGCTTCCCTGTAGAAGGATCAGCAGTGCCCATCTGCCTGGTGCTCTACACAGTGCTATGAAAACAGAATTAAAGGGTAAACAGAAATCCATGGGTAGAACATTCCAGGGCTTCGTGGAGCTGTTGGGCAATCATTCCTCCTGTACAGTCTCATGCAGGTATCTGCTCAGGCCGGCCCTCGGCGCCCTGCAGCCCTGGCCCACGTCCTTCCCCTCTGGGCCTGCGCGCTCATAGGTGGTTGTTCTTGGAGAGGTAGGCGATGAGGGCTACGGCCACGCCCACGTAGATGCCGGTTCCGATGGTGATGGACAGCACCGCCAGAAACAGAGCCCGCCGGGAGCTGGTGCTGGCCTGGTGGAAGTCCCCCTTCGCCACCGCCTTGTTCGTCTGCAGAGGCAGAGAAAGACAAGGAAGTCAAGCTGAGAAGCTGAACGCCGTGCATGAGGGTTCGCTGCGGTTCCCTTCCCACCTTAAACTGAGCCCACACAACAGGCCAGGGTAGGGAAGGCCAAGGGTGAAAGCGTAGCTGGGGAAGAGACCACCCCAGCTCTGACCTGTGACCAGGGTGCTTCCCCGACGGTCAAGAGAGGGAGGTGAGGCTGTCCCCCGCCCTGGCAAGGCAGGCAGAGGGAATGAATACGGCTGGGAGCAGCCCGGCTGAGCTCTGCCGCTGTGGGGACTGGGGTCTCTGGCTACAGCATGTGTGGTGGGGGGAATATTAGCTATTACACCTCAGTCCACTCTTGCTACCCAAGGACATTTTCTTTTTCATTCAAATTATACCTAATATTTTTTTTGGAGAGGTTTTTGCTATAGGGTGGGTGCACTCGCCAGAGACACACAGAGAGACAGAAAGAGAGAAATCACCCCCTGGGGGATTGCCACACCACAATCCCTTCTCTTCTATTCTCCTCTCAGGATCTTGGGCACACACGCACATGTGCCCGGCGTGAGTTTAAGCCACTAGGTCCGGGACTCGAACTGTGGTCGACTACATGGGAGTCCAGCTATATACCCATTATGCTAACTGTTGGTCCCAAATTATACCTAATTTTTAAATTAAAAAAATTTAATTTTAACCACATGTGGTTTCCTCAAAGAGAGAGAGAGTGGGAGCGAGAAATCACCCCTGGGGATGGCCATGCCACAATCCTTTCTCCTCTACCTCCTCTCCTGGCTGACACACACACAGGCTGGAAGGCTCCGACAGCGCCCAGGCTGCCTCCCGGCTCTGTCTTGAGATGGAGCCTGGAGCTCCCTGAGGGGACAGCTGAGGGAGGCAAGGCGGGATGCACCTGCAGACAGGAGCAGTTAATCCACCACACCATGCTGCCTGAGCCCCATCCTCTCTCGCAGCGCTCCCAAACATGCCCAAGTCTGTGACATGATCCAGGCTGACTGTCTTCCTCCGTGTTGTCCTGAGCCAGCACGCAGTAGGATCACGGGGGCACTGCTGCCTGGCCCTTATCTCCACCCTGAGAGCATCTGCCCGGGCTGGCCGAGAGGATGCAGAGAGAAGCAGGGGGAGGCAGGGCCCTTAGCCAACCAGGCACCTCTTGGTGGAACCCCTCGGCCCTGCAGGGACCCCCGGGTGCCAATGGCCACCTCACGTTTCAGTGATGGCGTGTGCAATGGTGGCTTCCTGCCCCATGTGAACTCCCTGTGGCAGGCCCAC